CCTCCCTCATTTCTGGTGCTCGCTCTCACTCATTACCCGTGAAGCAAGACACCATGTCATATCTTAACTTATTGTTTAAAACTACTTTTCAGTTAATATGACAAATCAAAATCTTCAATGTTGACAATTATAAGATCCTTAGCAAATCTTGCATGGAGGGGATTATAACCATGGCAATGAGACGATATACGATAGAATGAATGTAAAACTAATGTTCTCCCATGTAAACTATCACATAATTCACAATAAAACATTTAAGAAAAAAAAAAAAAAGATCCTTAGCAAATCTAGCAGTAATTTTATACTAATCCTGGTGTGGCACTGTGGGTTAATGTACCAGACTGCAAAGCTGTTTGAACTGCAAGGTTGGTGGTTCAAGCTCACCAGCTGTTCCTTGGAAGCCCTATACAGGGTCACTATGGGTTGGAACTGACTCAATAGCACTTACCCACAACAACAATGTCTTGCTTTATCTTTAGTTTTAGACATCGCTTAGGAATGTTGTCTTTCTACTTAAAAGATAAAGTATGTTTTGTATTTAAGTTCATGTGATTTCATTGAATTATGCTGTTGGTGAAAAATACTGGAAGTACCATAGACTGCCAGAAATTAGGCTTTGCTTCTGTGTTTATTGGGTAAAGTAGTCCTGGTGGCATAGTGAGAGTCAGCAGTTAGAATCCACCAGGAGCACCATGGGAGAAAGATGAGGCTTTCTGCTTCCAGTATAGACACCCAGCTTTGATGAGTCTGTGTAGGGTCACTACAGGTTGGAACTGACTAGACAGCACACAGCAACAGCCGTTCTCAAATATTGTAGCCATTCCATAAGAGTTTCTGAAAAGCACCTGTTTGGTGTTTCTGGCTGAAGCCTTCAGTATCAACCTCTTTCTGAATGTTCACAGGCAATTCCAAGACTGCCACGCCAACCCCACCCCAACTCTTCCAACAATCCTGAAAATCTTTATTAAACCCTTTCTACCTGGGACACATCAAGTGGCTTCTTTTATGCTGAGAACATAATCATAGTCACAGTAAAGACTGGGAAAAGTTTTTGGTTTATTAAATATTATAATTGACTGGAGTATCCAATTTGTTAGTTGAATACACAAATATCAAATTACAAATCAAAGTCAAATTTACATAACCTGGATTTCTTTTTTTTTTTTTTGCTTTTCTCTAACAATGACTTTCTATAGTCTTAAGTATATTTTTTTACACAACGGTCAAATAAACTCCAAGTAATTATCTTCACTTCTCTGAATAAAAAAGTTCATTTCTTATGACGTATGATTGTAGTAATTTATATGCTTGATGTTACTCAGTGCTGTGTTACCTGCAGTAAGAAAATGGAAATCAAGTTTAAGTGAACAGTAGAAAATAATTGTAGTCCTTAATCATTTTTTGGTGCCTCCTTTTATGTACTATGATATATAAAGCTCCTGTGATTATACGAGGCAGCTTCAAAAAGTTGGTGAAAAAATTTCATGATCATTACTTTCCTTTTTTTCCATGTACTTTTTGACGTCCCCTTCAAGAGACTCAATACAATGTTTATAAAAGTGAGTTATAATCAAAATCGTATTTAAAGAACAGAGCAATTGCAACTGAATGGAGGCCTACATTCAAGAAACATCCAAACACAGCAAAAGCAAATACATTTTTTTAATATATCCTTCAGAAACAGATGATTTATATTCGTAACACATTGCAACATTTCTCTCAAACTTCTTTCTCATCCTTCTCCTCCTCTGCCTCTGTCTGTTCCTCTGCCGAATATAATAATAACACCCTTTTGCATTGTGCTTATTATGTGCCAGACACTGTTGTAGGCCCTTTGCCTGAATTAACACATTAGCCCTTACAATAACTCTATAATGAGAGGCTAATATTAGCCCCGCATTACAGAAGGGAAAACTGGGGTTTAGAGGGGTTCAATACCTTGCCTAATGCACAGAGAGAAATAATGGAAGGGCCAGTGGTAAGGGTATAGACAGCTTGGCAACAGGTTTTGATGCCTCTCAAAGGTTTTAATTAACTAGTAGGAGTCCCAGGATAGTGCAAACAAAATGAGTGATTCAAACCTACCAGAAACACCTTACAGTCAGTCCTGGGGGTTACTTCCAAATATTCTACTCTGCTTATTTGGTGTCTTCTGAGGTCATTGTTCCATGGGTCAAAAATCAACTCAACAACAACCATACCCTCTTGAATGCCTCTTTCCTCCCTTGTGTACATCCCTTTTCTCTGTGTCTTCTGGCTCTACCCAGTCATTCTCTGGCCTTGCAGGGAAATCCCAGCAATCCAATCCGTATCCTCCATTTCTTTCTCTCACCCATTACCTCAGGGTGCCCAGAGAAGGGCCAGCAGCCTGAACTCCGCTTTGAGGAAGTCAAGGAGAAGAGGAGCAGGGAGGAGTTAGTGAAGGTCCTAGTTGTTCTTTTCTGACTAAAGAATGTTTCCTTTGTACTCTGTGTTAAGGAACCAACGAGTTATCAACAGCAAACAAAAGTGATGGCATCAGTCAGTAGCAGAATAAATCTAGAGTGAGAAATATATATATATTGTTGTTGTTGTTATGTGCCGTGGAGTCAGAACCGACTCATAGTGACCCTGTACAGGGTTTCCGAGGCTGTAAATCTTTACCGGAGCAGAAAGCCTCATCTTTCTCCCGCAGAACAGCTGATAGCTTCCAACTGCTGGCCTTGAGGTTTGCAGCCCAATTCGTAACCACTACACTACCAGAGCTCCTATATATATAGATAGATAGAGAGAGAGAGAGAGAGAGAGAGAGTCCTGGTGTGGCGCTCTGGGTTAATATGCTGGACTGCAAAGTCAGTTGCTAGTCGGCGGTTCAAATTCAATACATGTTCCTCAGAAACCCTATACAGGGTTGTTATGAGTCAGAACCAACTCGATGGCACTTAACAACAACACACACACACATATATGTGTGTGTTGTTGTTGTTGTTAGGTGCCATCAAGTCAGCACCGACTCATAGTGACCCTATGCACAGCAGAATGAAACACTGTCTGATCCTGGGCCAACCTCACTACTGTTGCCACGCTTGAGTCCATCAATGCTGCCACTTGGCCAATCCATCTCATTGGGGGTCTTCCTCTTTTTCTCTGACCCTCCACCTTACCAAACATGATATCCTTCTCCAGTGACTGGACCCTCATAATATGTCCGAAATATGAGAGGCAAAGTTTGGCCATCTTGGCCTCCCAGGTGCACTCTAGCTGCACTTCTAGATCTATATATATTCTTTTTTTTTTTAATTCTTTTCTTTCCCATGAACTTTTTTTTTAATGTTTTATTGTGAATTATGTGATAGTTTACATGGGAGAACATTAGCTTTACATTCATCCTATTGTGTATCGTTTCATTGTCTTTCCATGAACCTTTGCTTTCTTTCTTTCTTTAACATGGCTCCAGATACAGTTCCAGAAGCAACAGTAATAGGAAGGAGGATGATGTGCTGTTGATCAGATAAGGAAAGACTCCGGTGGTAAACTGCTGTGGTTGTTGTTAGGTGTTATCGAGTTGATACCGATCTTATGCACAGCAGAACAAAACCCTGTCTCTGTTAATATATGCTTGTAGCCATTTCTGTGTTACTTTTAATAAAACTTTAAAGGAGTAATCAAATTCATACTGTTAGAGGAGTTGAACACTTTTAAAATCATTTTGGTTTTGTTTGTTTTTGTTTTTGCTTGTAAGTGCCATCGAGTCTGTTCCGATGCATAACGACCCTGTATAGGGTTTCTGAGGAATATCTGGTAGGTTTGAACTGCCAACCTCGTGGTTCACAGTCCAGTGCTGATCCTACCAGAAGACCTTTATAATCATAAAATATTCTAAAAAAAACGTTATTACAGTGGCCCTCAAATCCAAAGAACTCAAGCTATTTTTAGTTTCTGAAGCATAGTATATCAAATATGTACTTAATAACTTCATTTTCAGTATTTGAAACCAGAGCCTAATTATGCTCTTATTGTTTTCAAAATAGAAGTCATATTCTTCCAGGATAAACATTGATTTCAGGAGAAAAGTATCCACTTTACCTCTGAAACAGACTGACCCAAAATGTCTTATACTTTTTCAAATCACAGTACTCCAGCATTCACTGATCTTAAAATTAATACCAATTAGTTTTAAGAAATATTTGAGAATTCTGCTGTATTCTTTTGTAAGTATTAGGACCACACTGGTCTATCAACACATTGTTGGTGTTAGGTGCCATGGAATTTGTTCCAACTCACAACAGCCCTGTTGTTGTTAAGTGCCGTCGAGTCGGTTCCAACCCATAGTGATCCTGTACAGGGTTTCCGAGGGTGTAAATCTTTACAGGAGCAGAAAGCCTCATCTTTCTCCCGCGGAGCAGCTGGTAGTTTCGAACCGCTGACCTTAAGGTTCGCAGGCTGATTCGTAACCACTATGCTACCAAAGCATAGTGACCCTGTATAGGATTTCCAAGGAGTGGCCGGTGAGCTTGAATTGACAACCTTGTAACCCTGTTGTTGTTGTTAAGTACCGTCAAGTCGGTTCCAAACCATAGTAACCCTGTCTTTAGGTTCAAACCAACTTTGCATTCCAATGCATTAACCCACTGACCCTAAAACTGAAAAATAGGCAAGGGAGTTGGTATTTGGAAATCTAAGATTAGATACCACACAAAAAGCAATTTAATCTTTAAAAACAGAGGTATGATCACAGAATATGCCCCACTGAAAACTATTTAGGGTTAGATTATCTAGGCAGATGTGCAAGGAACCCTGATGGCACTATGGGTTAGGCATTAGACTGCTAATCCCAATGTTGGCAGTTCAAACCCACCAGTCGCTCCATAGGAGAAAGATGAGGTTGGCTGCTCTTGCAAAGATTTGCAGCCTTGAAATCCAAAGAAGCAGTTCCAGTCTGCCCCCTAAGGCCATTATGAGTCAGAATCAACTAGATGGCAGTAGGTGGGTGAGTAAGATAGATATGCAGATGACCATACTTAATATTCATGTAAAATACCTGAATTTTCTTTTCACATCTGATTCCAGAATATCCAGTGCTGCAAGAACACATGTTGGGAAATGTGCATCTTCCTCCATTAAGACATTCTGGATTGCATATTGCTGCAATACAAAAATGTTCACAATGATCACCTTTTGACATGGAATGCTTGTGACAGATGATTTTCCAGTAATTTGAATCTGTTTAGTAAGTGGATCATTAACGTGGGTTATAAGAAGCTATGCACTCCCATCTTCCTGCAAATAGAAGACATACATATGCACACAATGACAAACAAGACACCCAAATTTCTAGACAACTCTTCTACAATTCTATAAACATGTTATTGGAGCAAACAGAAATTTACTTTGGCTACATTTTAGAGCTGAATCTAAGTGGTGCTTCAGGTTAATTTGCTGGACTTCAAAGTCAGTTTGAACTGCAAGGATGGCAGTTCAAGCTCACCAACTTCTCCTCAGAAATGGACTCGACAGCACTTAAAAACATTTTAGAGCATTCTGTATTTCTTTTTTCTTGTTGTCTTTGAAAGACAGTCACATCAGTAACAGAATATATTTATAATTTGATTTTAACAATTTAACAAAAAACTAAACAGAAAAAAATGCAATGATAGCCAATGTATGAAAAAACAGACAATGTCATATATAATCATTATGAGTTCAATATAAAACAACTCTACTGGAAACTTTAAAAGATTTTCACACAGCAGTTTTAGATTCAAGAGTGTCACTGCAGCTCTTGATCCATCGTCGAAGAAACTGAGGCCACTCAGAGAGGTGAAGCAGTTTCAGATGTTGTTAAGCTGGCTGGCTCAGAGGAACGAATTTCTCCAGATTTGAGCGCCAAATGGAGCACTACACGGGCCTATATGGGGTCAGAGTCAGGGAGGGGCCAGGCTGCAGACCTGTTTGAGGATGGCAGCCGGGAACCAGGGGGAATTGGTGACCTGATTAGCATTCTAGCTTGTCTCCTGAGTGGGGAAGTTTGGTCTCACTTAGTAACCTGATTAACATTTTAGCTTGTCTCCTGGGCAGAAAGGGCAGTAAATGATTTTACATTTTCCTGTTCACTAGAAATGTGTCTATTGAAATTTCCCTTAAGGAAATTTAAAAAATCAAGATGTATTAACATAGAGAGAAAATGCTTAAAACACAATAGTATCAAAATTGCTGTTAAGTGCTGTCAATTCCCACTGGGAGTGACTCTAAGAGTTCTCCAGGAGCGGCGATTTTGAACTGATGACATTGCAGTTCAAACCAACCTTGCAGTCCAGCACATTAACCCACAGCACCACACTATTGGGGGTATTAAATTGAAAAGAATAACACAATATGAATAATTCCTTGATTTATGATTTAATAAACAATTCATAAATTGGAGAAACGTTCGCTCCTCATACAAGAGGAAAGCCACTTTTAAAGAATGAAAGTTCAGAGACTTAAATAGCTTTTCCTTAAAGGATCTTGGCATCCATAGCAATGAAGTATTTAATGGCTACTGAGTTAACATTAAACAGGAAACTAACTTCATGAAAGATTAGCCTGTCCGCTTACCTGTGGTCCTCAAACCTCAAGAAATTTGAGTTAAAGAACTCTGAGTCTTTCTTATTTAATTATGGATTAATGGTTCTGAATGGTTGGCTCTTGGGAATAGCCACCTTGGGTGAGAGTAAAAATAAATTGTAGACAGATTAATTTGGGGGTAGACACTTGTATGTTCCTGGAGAAGAAACACTCACTTGAAATAAAAGCAAAATATCTGTTTTTAATATAATTTGATACCACAATAATAATAACTTATAAATAAATAGAATGTTCAATATAAGAAGGTTAAGTAAATTATGGTATTTACACTATGGAATTTGATCTATAATTTTAAATTACAACTTTTATGGGAATCATTTTTCAATATCTCATTTTTAAAGCTAACCTTTTTTGAGCATATATTCCCTCTGATATAAAAGATGGGCAGTTTACATAATGCACAAGGACTCCACAGCTGAGGAATTTAAAATTCACATTTTAAACGTGGATTTGAATCTTTAGTACAACAACTTTCCAGCAGATGGCAGTAGCATATTTCCGTCAAATAATACTACACCTGGACCATTTGTAAAACATTTTGAGGACAGGAAACTTTCTTATACATAAAAAGGTGCTTGGGATGTACAAACCACTACTGTGATTTTCAAGTCACCTACTTCAATCTACAACAATTGGGCATATTTCCATATTAATGTGCTTTGAGTATCTTTCCAGCATTATACCTTATGATTCACATAGACTTCTTTGCTGAATGTTGTTATTGTTGTTATGTGCCATGGAGTCAGTTCCAACTCATAGTGACCCTGTACAGGGTTTCTGAGGCTGTAAATCTTTATGGGGGCAGAAGCCTCATCTTTTTCCCATGGAACAGCTGGTAGTATAGAACTGCTGACCTTGAGGTTCGCAGCCCGATTCTTTGCAGAATAAACAGCTCAAATTGTGGTTGCTAACTGTTCTTCCAAGGTCGTATTCTTCCACCATACTTATTCAACCTGTATGCTGAGAAAATAATCCAAGAAACTGGGTTGTATGAAGAAAAACGTGGCATCAGGTTTGGATGGAAGACTCATTAACAACCTGCAATATGCCGATGATACAACCTTGCTTGTTGAAGGTGAAGAGGACTTAAAACATTTACTGATGAAGATCAAAGAGCACAGCCTTTGGTATGGATTACATCTCAATGTAAAGAAAACAAAAATCCTCACCACTGGACCAATAAACAACATTCTTATCAATGGAAAAAAATTGAAGTTGTCAAGGACTTCAGTCTTCTTGGATCAACTATCAACACTCATGGAAGCAGCAGTCAAGAAATCAAACATGTTGCATTAGGTAAATCTGCTGCATAAGACCTTTTTAAAGTGTTGAAGAGCAAAGATGTCAGCTTGAGGACTAAGGTGTGCCTGACCCAAGCCCTGGTATTTTCAATAACTTCATATGCATGTGAAAGTTGGACAGTGAATAAGGAAGACCGTAGAAGAATTGATGCCTTTGAGTAATGGTGTTGGAGTAGAATATTGAAAGTGTCGTGGGCTGCTAAAAGAACTATTGTATCTATTTTGGAAGAAGTGCAGCCAGAGTGCTCCTTGGAGGCCAGGAGGGCCAAACTTCATCTCTCATACTTCAGTCATATTGTCAGGAGGGACCAGTAGCTGGAGACGGATATCATGTTTGGTAAGCTGGAAAGTCAGAGGAAAAGAGGAAGACCCCCAGTGTGATGGATTGGCCAAGTGGCAGTATCGATAGACTCAAGTATGGCAACAGTAGTGAGGTTGGCCCAGGATTGGGCAGTAGTTCATTCTGCTGTGCATAAATAAGGTTGCTATGAGTTGGTACCAACTCAATGGCACCTAACAACAACAACAACTGTTCTTCCTAGCATTTTATGATATTTGGTGTGGACTGATAATCACAAAGTCTATAATTCAAACCCATCAGCTGCTCCTTGGAAACCCTATACAGGGTCACTCCACGTCAGATGTTCTTGATGTCATCATCCCATAACTCTTCTGGTCTTCAGTCTTTATAGTGTTAAATGTATCAAATCTGTTCTTCAGACGATCTCTAAATTCAGGTGGGATATATTCAAGGTCATATTTTGGCTCTCGTGAACTTGTTTTCATTTTCTTCAGCTTCAGTCTGAATTTGCATATGAGCAATTGATGGTCTGTTCCACAATCTGCCCCTGGCCTTGTTGTGCCTGATAATATGGAGCTTTTCTATTGTCTCTTTCCACAGAAGTAGTCAATTTGATTTCTATGTATTCCATCAGTTGAGGTCCATGTTTATAAATGTCTCTTATGCAGTCTAAAGAAGGTATTTGAAATGAACAAATCATTGGTTTTGCAAAATTCTATCATGTGATCTCTAGTCCATATTTTCCATATTTCCTCTTTGCTCCCAACCTTTGCATTCCAATCACCAGTAATGATCAATACATCTTGATTGCATGTTTGATCAATTTCAGATTGAAAAAGTTGGTAGAATTCTTCTATTGCATTCTCATTGGCTTTAGTGGTTGGTACACAAATTTCAATAATAGTGGTATTAACTGGTCTTCCCTATAGGCACATGGATATTATCCTATCACAGTGTTGTACCTCATAACTGATCTGGATATGTTCTTTTTGACTATGAATGCAACACCATTCCTCTTCAATTTGTAATGCCTGACTTAGTAAACCAGGTGGTTGTCAAATTCAAAATGGCCAATACCAGTCCATTTCAGAAGATATCGATGTTTATGCATTCCATTTCATTTTTGACCATTTCCAATTTTTCTAGATTCAAACTTCGTATATTCCAGGTTCTGGTAATTAATGGATGTTTACAGCTATTTCTATTCATTTTGAGTTGTGCCCCATCAACAAATGAAGGCCCCAAGGGCTTTACTCCCATGGGCTTTAGTCCATTCACATCATCATGGGCAACTCCACTCTGAGCAGGCAGCTCTTCCCCAGTCACATTTTAAGTGACTTCCAACCTGAGGGGTTCATTTTCAGGCACTAT